TTGCTGATGGAGCAAAACACAAAATAAGAAAAAAACAACTGTAAACATCCATTAACATTAGCAACATGACATATACAAAATATAAATCTAGGAAACTTGGAAATACTCAAAAGTTAAATGGAATACATAAAGATCTATATGGACTGGTATTAGACATTTTAAATCAGGTAATCATATAATTTACTATGCCCAAAATGATAAATTATAGAGGAATATTGTCAAATTCATCATCAAAAAGTCCAGCCCAAGATCTATCTTGAAGTACAATATTGTCTGTGATAGGACAATATCTAAATGTCTACAAGGAAGACCAGATAATAGTCAAATTTACACAGCAACTACTAAAGACAAAGATGATAAAATTGAAGAATTCTACAAACCTGTTCAGGGAACACAGTGGCTCCTTGATAAGATAAGCACTGGACTGTGAACCACAAGGTCAGTGGTTTCAGGCCCCAGCTGCTCTGCAGGAGATGAGGCTTTCTATTCCCACAAAGATTTATAGCCTCAGAAACCTTATAAAGCATTTTAAATGGATCCAATGACACTTAACAACAACAACAATCAACTTCTTCAATCTGAAATTTATCAAACATGCAATCAAGATTAAGTGATAATTACTAGTGATTGAAATGTGAAAGTTGGGAACAAAGAGGAAGGATCAGTAATTGGAAAATAAGGTCTTGGACAGAAATAATGCTGGCGATCACATGGTACAATTTTGCAAGACCAGATACTTCTTCATTACAAATACCTCTTTTCAACAACATAATCTATAAGCTGAATATACATGTGGACCTTACCAAATGGAATACACAGGAATTGAATTAACTACATTTGTGGGAATAGACAATGGAAACGCTCAGTATCATCAGTCACAACAAGACCAGGGGTTAACTGTGGAACAGAATATCAAAAACTCATATCCAAGTTTAGGCTAAAGTGGAAGTAAATTAAAACAAGATCACGACAGTCAAAATATGACCTTAAGTATTATTGTTGTTGTTAATTGCTGTTGAGTCAGTTCTGACCCTTAGCGACCCTGCATAGGTTTCTGAGGAGCGGATGGTAAGCTTGAATCGCTGACCATGTGGTTCAAACTGACTTGGCAGCTCAGCGCACACAGCACCACACCAGGAGTCTGACCTTAAATATACTGCACCTGAATTCAGAAACCATCTGAAGAACAGATTTGATGCATTTGATACTAATGACCGAATTAGGAGCTTTGGTAGTGTAGTGGATTATGAGATGCCCTGCTAACTACAAGGTCAGCAATGCAAGTCTACCAGCCACTCTGAGGGAGAAAGTTGAGGCTTTCTGCTCCCATGAAGAGTTACAGAGTCGCTGTGAGTTGAACCAACTCCATGGCACACAACCACCACCACCAGGCGAGATGGGGCATGACATCAAGAACACCATATCTGTACAGACCCTGGAACTGCTCGTGAGCATAGAGAAACTAAAGTGACAGGAAAATATGAGGATGCGAAAGAGCTGAACAGAAAATTTCAAAGGGCATGTCAAGAAGACAAAAGTCAAGTATTAGAATGAAATATGAAAAGCTCTACAGTTAGGAAAGAAAGAACACACTCAGTATTTTTTAAGCTGAATGAACTGAAGAAAACATTTAAGCCTCAACTTGCAATACTGAAGGATTCTATGGTGCAGCACTGTAAGATCAGCACTGAACTGCGAACCACAAGGTCAGCAGTTCAAACCCAACAGCTGCTCCTCGGAAACCCTATACAGGGTCACTATGAGTTGGAACTGACTTGACGGCACGTAACAACAACACGGGTGCAGGAAGCATTAAAAGGCAATGAAAGGAATATACAAAGTCACTCTACCTAAAAGAGTTGATTTTTATCCAACCATTGCAAGCGGAAGCATATGATCAAGAACCAAAGGTATTGAAGGAATAAGTCTAAGTTGTACTGAAGGCAATGGTGAGAAAGAAAGATCCAAGAATTGATGGAATTACAAATTGAAATATTTCAACAAGCTGATGAAACCCTGAGGTGCTCACTCGTCTATTCCAAGAAATTTAGAAGACAGCTATCTGCACAACCCATTGCAAGAGATCTACATTTGTGCCCATTCCAAAGAAAGGTGACTGTTAATATCACCTACAAGAAAAATATATCTGACGATAATTCAAAGACTGTTTTGGCAGTACATTGACAGGACACTGTTAGAAATGCAAGCTGGATTCAGGAGGGAACATAGAACTAATACCATTGCTGAAATCAGATGGATCTTGGATGAAAGCAGAGAATAACCGAAAGATGTTTGCTTGTGCTTTGCTGACTATATAAAGGCACTCCATTGTATGGATCATCATAAACTATGCATAATATTGTGAAGAATGAGAATTCCAGAACATTTCATTGTGCTCATGAGAACCTCACACAGACCAAGAGAGCAAAGAGATTTAGAATGATTTAAGTCAAAAGAAGTGCATGCCAGGGTTGAATCCTTTCACAAAACTTATTCAAAATGCTGAGTAAATAATTGGAGAAGCAGATGCTACTCTTAAGGAAACCTGGCAGCAAAGTGGATTATGAGCGGGGCTGCTAACGGCAAGGTAAGTAATTTGAATCTACCAGCTGCTCTACTGGAGAAAGATGAGGCTTTCTATCCCGTAAAGATTTACAGCCTCGGAAACCTTGTACAGGGTTGCTATGAGTCGGAACCAACTCAGTGGCACACAACCACCACCACATTATATGAAGAAGAATGTGGTATCAAAATTAGAGAAAGGCATAATCATTTACAATCTATGATATGCAAATGACACAAACTCGCTTGCTTCAAAGTCAAGGAGACTTGAAAAACTGATGAAAATCAAACTCTACAGCTTTCAGGATGGATTGCACCTTAATGTAAAGAAAACAAAAATCCTCATAATGTGACCAATAAAAAACATCAGAAAAAGACTGAAGATATCAAGAACGTAGTTTTGCTTGGATCCACAGTCAATGCTAATGGAAGCATCAGTCAGGAAATCAGATTTGCATGGGCCAAATCTGTTGCAAAAGGCATCTTCAAAGGGTTAAAGAGCACAGCTATCACTTTGAGGACTACGGTGTATCTGACCCATGTCATGGTCTTTTCAATAGCCTCATGTTGTTGTTGTTATGTGCCGTGGAGTCGGTTCCAACTCATAGTGACCCTGGACAGGGTTTCTGAGGCTGTAAATCTTTACAGGAGCAGAAAGTCTCATCTTTCTCCGGCGGAACAGCTGGTAGTTTCGAACTGCTGACCTTGCGGTTCATAGCCCGATTCGTAACCACTACGCTACAGCCTCATAGCCATGTGAAAGTCTCGACAACGAATAAGGAAGAACATAGACTGATTGATGCATTTCACAGCATAGAGACAAATGGCAAATGAAGAATGTAATGGTCTTTCTATATAATTTTATACTATTTATCCTATAACTAAAATGTTACAGAATCATTTTCTTTGGATGCCTGCTGGTTAAGATAGTCAAAAACTGGGGAAGACTGGGTTGCTTAAATCTGGACTTGTTAAGACTACAAAAATTTCAATTTTCAGCAAAACTGTAAAAGAAGTGAAAAACACATAGGCAGCTCTTAGAAGACTGGTTGGTTGGTTACGTGCCATGGAGTCGATTTTGACTCAGTGACCCTGTATAAGGTTTTCAAGGCTGTAAATCTTTACGGGAACAGAAAGCCTGGATTTCTCTTCTCTCGTTCTCTCTGTGTGTGTATGGGTGTGTACACGGGAATCATTAAAACTGCAGAGCTCTTACACAACACTGTTCTCTGTACTTGATTATGTTCACTTATTTATTCCTCCAACAAGCCTGAGAGATTTGTTGTTGTTGTTGTTGTTAAGTGCCATGGAGTCATTTCTGACTCATAGTGACTCTGTACAAGGTTTCCAAGGCTTTACATCTTCGAGGGAGCAGAACACTTCATCCTTCTCCGACAGAGCGGCTGGTGGGCTTGAACCACGGACCTTGTGGCTTGCAGTTATTATCTCTACTTTGCAGACAAAAATATGAAGGAGAGCAAGACCACTAAGCAATTCCTTTTCAGAACCTGGATGTAGTGCCAGAAAGCTTGGCTCTGTAGTCTATGCATGAATCTTAGAAATATAATGCAGGGTGTGTGTGTGTGTGTGTGTGTGTGTGTGTGAAAAAGTAGCATATAACATTATTAATAAAAAGCTAAAAAACAAAGAGCAAATAAATATTGTTTCGGCTCACAAGCATATGTGGTAAAAATACTAAAAAAACAAAACAAAGGCATTATTACTTTGGATATTGTTCTATTTCTTACATTGGGGGTAAATTTACTGGAATTCGTTTTATTATTGTACTCTTTAACTTAGCATAGTGGTTACGAATTGGCCTGCAAACCGCAAGATCAGCAGTTCGAAACTACCAACTGTGCTGTGGGAGAAAGATGAGGCTTTCTGCTCCCGTAAAGATTTACAGCCTCAGAAATGCTGTACAGGGTTGCTATGGGTCAGAACAGACTCCACGGCACAGAACCACCACCACCACTCCTTAACTTACATATGTGTTACAGCTTATCTTGTGTATATTAAATACTCTGTAAAATAAATTTTTTAAACATTAATCAATAAGGTACCCAAACTTCTTAACTTACCCGGGATTTATGACATGTTAAAGGTAGATAAATCATTATTTTACCAAAGTAGACACAATTCAACCAGGGATGGTAAATATTTGACACAAGTACTGTCCCTTCCTTTTGTATTGGACACTGGACATTGACATGCTAGGCTTCCTCCTGTACCCGGCCACTAATTTAAAACTCTTTTCATTCAGTACTCAGAAAATTCATGATTAATTATGAGCAGGTAGTTGAGGGTGCATATCAATTTTGTTGGAGTTGGTACCACCATCATCAATGTGCTAACATCTTCCTAAAAGTTCTTTTAGGTAGCAAAGTCTGAGATCTCTCAGTATTAACTTGGTACCTCTATTTTAAATATACAATTACCTGTTAAGTTTGAAGCATCAGTGGGACTCAGTTGTAACCATTGACGTGCATCAGAATCAGCCACATCTGTGGGAGTGTTCAATTCTGGGTCCTCTTCACAGCTCTGCCAGGCACTCAAGGATAGCTCTGCTTCATTGGTATAGCCCAGAGGCGTATCGCTAATGACACTTTCACCTGGCACAATGGAGAGAATCAAAGCTTGAGATAACAAATACTGATAATCACAACAGTCACAATCACCGATATGCAAGTGACGAAACTCTTAAAATGACTGACAAAAATGGTTAAGCATTCACCTACTAACTAAAAAGTTTGTGGTTCGAATCTATCCACAGGATGCCCTGACAATCTACTTTTGAAAGGTCACAGTCACTGAAAACTGTACAGGATGTAGGTATACCGTGACACACAGGGGATTGGTTTAACACCTAAACAGCTGCTGATATAGCAGGAAATCACTTGTTCTGTGGCTTTGGAAGAACCTGCAGAGAGGCTCAAAAGATGCCTGTATGGGACTTTCCGTCAACAACACAAAGCTTCTATGAACAGGGAGTTAATAGTCATTACAAGCTTCACAACATATCATCACACAAGTGTCACTCTTTGCAAGGAGTCTGCACTGACAGTTATTCCTACACACACATGATTCCATCAAGTCACTAACTTTTCTACTGCTACTTATTCACCAATAAAATGGGGAAGGTAGAGGAAAAGGGTGAGAACTGATTCCATCACTAACAGAAATTTATTCTACTGGACAAAAGAGTCAAGGGACACCTTGAGCCTGGTGTCTAGACCTAGGTCAGATAAATCATCCAGGATGACTGGGAGTGACAGATTCTGCTAAAATAGATTTTCTCCAATAGATATTCTCCTCCTTTAAACCCTTTGATGTATTTGTCATGATACAATGATGCCTTAAAAAATTATTAAGATTTACAGGGCAATTTGGGAGTTCTGGTATAGTGCAGTAGGATAAGCACTGGACTGTTAACAACAAAGTGGGTGGTTCACACCCACCATCCACTCCTTGTAAACTCAATTCTGGGTCGCTAAGAGTCAGAACAGACTCAATAGCACTTAACAACAAACACAACAACAGGGTTATTTAGTCTGACACAAACAAACCTAAGTAACTCTGCTCCTCTAAATCTGATATATTTCATAACCCTTTCTCTCTGTTCACACCTCCAAATGGTCTTTGTATCTGTCACTCTTCCAGGCTCACTTCAGCTAATCTGCTGTCCCCTGTTTATTCTGTTTTAGTTATATGCCATCAATTTGGCCTCCAACTCATAAATACTCCATGCACAAGAAGATAAGGTTTTCACTGGCTGATTTTCAGAAGTATATCACCAAGCCTTTCTCCTTAGTCTGTTTATAGTCTGAAAATGCCATTGAAACCCATTCAGAAATGTAAACACACATCTACACTGAAAGATGAGTGGTGGTTGCACATGAGGTGCACTGGCCAGGAATCAAACCTGGGTCTCCAGCAAGAAAGGCAAGAATATTGTTGTGCTGTTAAGTGCTATTTAATCAGTTTCAACTCATATCGACCCTGTATAGGGTTTCCGAGGCTGTAAATTTTTGCGTAAGTAGAAATCTCATCTTTTGCCCACAGAGCAGCTGGTGGACTTGAACCATCAGCCTTGTGATTCACATTTCAGTGTTTAACCTACAGAGCCACCGCACTCCCAAGAACAAAATAAAACACATTAATTCTGTATTTGGGTGAACACAAACCATATTTCCTGAAACTTACTCTTCTGTCTTTCACCACATTTTTCTTGTTTCTGCTGTAAAGCATCTTTTAAATCCAGTTCAACAGGGCTGCTGCTTCTTTGAACTAAGATCTTTAGACAAAAAGAAATACTACATTTGTTACAGGAAATTTTTAGTATTTATAAGATCATTAAGTTTCTAGTCACCAATTCTAAAGAAGACAAACAAACAATAATAATAGGAACAAAAAGAGAATGGTTTACATTAGAAAGATATGTGTTCACAAATTACTATAACTGAATTATAAATTACTCAAGACCTGAAACTTTACATTTAAGGGCTTTACTTTGTCAACTGACATCCAGTTAAACTGATATATTATAAAAAGGAAAAAGTATAGGAAAGCAGTATATTGTAAAGTCCTACAGGGTAGCTATGAGTGGTAACCGACTTGTCGGCACTTAACAACAACCAGTTACTCAGGAGCGTAGAGGCTCTGGGGGATAAACACTGGAGTGCAAATCACAAGGATGGTGATTTGAGTCCATCAGCTGCTCCATAGGAGAAAGATGAAGCTTTGTGTTACCACAGAAATTTATAGCTTAGAAAACCCTCTATAGGGTCGCTGTAAGTTGGTACAGACTCAACAGCACTTAATGACAACGACAAACCAGTTAGCCTCGTTAAATACACAGATATACTTAATATAACTCTCCAGAAGGCTTGTTAACCCATTGTTGGAGAATGTAATGACAGGAAGGCACAAACTCCACTTAGACCTAAATGTTTACTTAGCATTGTTGTTGTTGTTGTTAAGTGCCGTTGAGTCGATTCCAACCCATAGCAACCCTGTATAGGGTTTCCAAGGAGCAGCTGGTGAGCTTGAACTGCTGACCTTGCAGTTCAAACGGCTTTACAGTCTGGCTCATTAACCCACAGCGCCACACCAGAGCTCTTTAGCATGTTGTTAAGGGCCGTCGAGTCGATTCCAACCCATAGCGACCCTGTATAGAGTTTCCTAGGAGCAGCCAGTGAACTTGAACCGCCGACCTTGCAGTTCAAATGGCTTTGCAGTCTGGTACATTAGCCCACAGCACCACACCAGGAATCCTACTTAGCATAGTCCTGGTTAAATGTACCACATGTACCACAGGCTTTTCTGAACAGTGCTTGTATTAAATACAGATAAGTAAAACATTCTAAGACGTTCTGCTTCCTGTAAGAATTAATAACTTACTTAGACATATGACATATACAAATTATACAAAATCATTACAATATACTTAAAATATGCAAATAAGTTCTATAACAGGTATATAGTTACCATCACTGGTCCACAGTTTCAGGAGAGCCAGTTCAAAATGGCAAAAGCCATGAAGTGGTAGAGAATAGGAAGCACGGTCAAAGCAGGAAGTTGGGCATAGTGACTACAAGTTCTATGTATAGGGAAAGAAGCCCATTAGAGAAGGTAATGCAGGGCAACCAGATAAAGAGGAAAAAAGAAAACAATGCATATCTTCTAAAAGAGGCAACTGAGAGTGGGCCATTGACATTAGAAATTTTGACTCAATAGCAAAATGAACAATGATATGTTCCAGACAATACCAGACTGTGATTAAAAATATATCTAGAAGGATGCCCTATGGGACAGATTAAAGTTAAGAAAATTCCTTAACAATGATTCAGGAAAAAGAGGATGAAGCTTTGATGATGGAAGAGAAGAGATAAGTAAGAGAGATGCTACAAAATTCCAGGCAAAGTTTAAAATCAGCTATACATATCATAGAAAAAAATTAAATCACAAAAGGATATGTTTCTGGAGAGCCAGGAGAATGATGGTGTCAAAGGAAAACAGGCAGGCAGGCAGGAAGTAAAAGAAGAATCTGAGAAAACTTACGGCATTGAATTTTCAACTATGGGCTGGATATCCTAAAGGGAACAAGGGACTGAGGTGGCAATGTAGGATAAGCACTGCATTGCAAACCACTAGATCAATGGTTCGAGTCCACCAGCTTCTCTGTGGGAGAAACATAAGGCTCTCTGTTCCTGCAAAGATTTACAGCCTCATAAATCCTATCATTACTCAAGTATCACTATGAGTCAGAACTAACACAATGGCTTTTAACAACACCACCAATAAGGGAACAAAAACCCAGGATTGGCGAGCTAGAGGATAAAGACAGGAATAAAGATTTAAACGTAAGGTTCTTTCTGCATACTAGATTTTTTTTTAATCCATAGGAATTAATTGATTAACGAAAAGGATATCACAGTTTTAATGAAGAATGATACATATTTAATGTGTTCAATGGAAATATGCCCAGGATATTTTCTAATTAAAAATCAGAATGCAGATGCTTTTGCTTCTGATCAAATGCAAGACTAAGTAACTTCTAGCTATAGAACTAGATCCTATATAAATGTTTGGCTGCAACCTGGGGCATCCAGAAAATAAAGGAAACCTACAAGTGATCTACAACGTTGCCCGAAGTGAGCAGAAACAAGGGCAGTAAAATAGGACAGCCCTGAAGGTCAATACCAATGTTGTCAACCCAGTGGCAAAGGGACCAATCGTATGTGGCAAAAGGACCACAACACCAGACTGAATGTAGTGCTCCCTGCTTCATGAAGAAACACATGCAAATTTTGTCTAGATAAAGCATCATCAACCTACACATTCAGGTTTTCTGTAGATTAAGAATAGACAAGGTGAACATAATCAAAGATCACCAAACAACCAAGCAAGTAATCACCACAAGAAGCTTCAAAAACAACATATGTAAGATTGAGATCTTAAAGGGGGACTTCATAAGACAATCAGATACAGAATTTAGAATTGTAATTTGTGGAATTTTTAAAAGAATGAAAGAGATCACAAAAATGAGCAAGCAATAAGAGAGTATTAAAAATTATTTGTTGAAAAAGCAATTGAAGTTTCAGAAGCAAAAAGCATAATGGTTTTTAATATTTCGATGTAAATATTAAACAGCAAGCTAGATAGGAGTAAAATAACAATTATTGAAATGGAATATAAGGGGGCTTCAAAAAGTTTGTGGAAAAACCCATGTCTTTCAATTCTATTTTTCCATGAACTGTTTGGAGCCCTTTTATACAAAGCTGATGAAGCTACCCAGTATGTATGTACTCAGAGAATAAAGGAGGATAGAAAACACAAAAGTGAGTTTAAGACACATGGAAGACAGAATGAGAAAGTCTAATATAATTTTACCCAGAGTACCAGAACAAAAAAGAGGCAGTATTTGAAGAGATGATTATTCAGAATTTTCCCAAAACCATGGAAGACAGGATATAGTGCTGAAATCAAGGAAAGGCTTCTGGAAAAAGAGGTATTAAGGCTTTTTACACTTTTCTTTCCTCCTCTCCCGTCACACCCTTTCTGCCCAGCCCAGACACCTTCAGGCAGGTGGGAGCACACCCCCAAAAGGATCCAGTGCTGTGCTCAGAGTACAACTTTCCCATGGCACAAAGAGGAAATCCCTGAAATCAGTCCCACAAGCTAATCCTTTGTCTGCTTCTTATGACATCTGACTCTGGGACTTAGCCCTAAAGCTGACCTGGGCAGGAGCCTTTATTCTGGCCCCACCTAACAAGAGACAGCAGGCCTGGACATACAGCCAAATCTTATTTGCACCTTGTAAGGTCCCAACATAAAAGGCAAGAACCAACACCAACTACTACATACAAGGACGCAGCTATTTTGAGAATTATGCTGTACATACACAGATACCTAACTGACCTTCAGAGATAAAAATAGTGGACAATCTTTCCTCCATTCATTTCTCAATATCTATATGCACACCTCCACGGTGCTGACCAAAGGAGGGGCCAGAGCGAGTGGACACACCCCTCCCCACCAATGGAGATTTCTACTGTGCACACACACTGACCTGTGCAGCAAAGGCTACTAGACAGTCAGCTACGGTTTTATTTTTGTTGTTGTGTGGTGCTTTTTGTCTCTGCTTTTATATTGCTTCTGTTTTTTGGTCCTTTTGGTCTCACTTTTTTCTGGGGGTGTAGGTTTTCTCTCCCTACTGTTATCCAAGAAGAGGCAAGCTACAAGCATATAGCCAAGCTACAAGCATACCCCATAATATTTCACCATCCAGATAGGAGCCAATACTAGCTAGTAGACATTACACAGATAGCCAACAATTGCTAAGCTAGCTTGCAGCTGAGTAATACGAGACGTGAAAAGGCAAGCCAATCTCCAGATCACATCCACCAGGAGAAACTCAATAGCATAACAACACAGCAACATACATTCATTTAATCATTGAAAACACATCTAACTATTGAAAATATCCAAGAAAAAACAACAACAAAAGATCTCAGCACATGCCCAAAACCAGAAAAGAGTAACTGAGACAAATGAGCTGGAGGCAGACATAGTCTTCCCATTAGAAGAAGAGCAGGCTTTGGATCTGCCTGAGAAGGAATTCAGAAGAATAATATGGAAAAAAAATCCAAATACTCCATAGAGGAGTATAGGAAAATAGGGAAGAAGTCAGGAAAGTGCTACAGGAGCACTCAAACAAGATAGATATAGCACTGGAAACAATTCAAAACCTGCCAAAAGAGGATCAGATGAATAATAATACAATATCAGATATGGACAATACACTGAAAGGGCAAAAGAATAGAAGTGAAGAGATGGAAGCCAGAAATAATGATCTGGAAGACAAATCTCTCAATACTGTTAAGACAGAAGAGCAAGCAGAAAAAGAATGAAAAAAATTTGAAGAGAGTCTAAGATTCATGTTGGATACCATAAAGAGGAATAACTTAAGAATTATTGGCATTCCAGAACAGGAAGAATCACAGAAGTCCACAGAGGAGATAGTTGAAGAGTGTCTGAAAGAAAATTTCCCTAACATCTTGAAATATGAAAAGGTAAGCATTCAAGAAGCTAAACGAACCCCAGGCAGGATAGACCCCAAAAGAAAATCACCAAGACATATCATAATCAAGCTCTCCAAAATCAAAGATGAGAGAATCCTAAAAGAAGCCAGAGAAAGAGTAGTGTTACTTACAAAGGCAAGCAAATCAGATTAAGCTCTGACTTCTCAGCAGAAACCATGCAGGCAACAAGGCAATGAGGAGACATATATAA